AAGAAACATTTTAAAATGGTGAAATATTATTAAAAAATAATATTAAATCAGTAATAATAAATAATTTATATTTGTAACAATTTATAATATTTATAATTATTAAAACTATAAAAAACATAATTTATAATTTATTATTAATATATTTAGTTCCTCATTTCTAAGTTTATCACGCAGTAGACCAGATTGACCGACATAGCCCAACGGATTAGTAAGCTGAAGTGGCAATGGGTCGGCCATATAGCTCGAAGAACCGACAAACGTTGGGAAAAAAGGGTTATCGAGTGGCAGCCTCGTACCGGTAGGTGAAGTGTAGGGCGACCCCCCCCACTAGATGGATTGACGACCTGGTAAGATACGCAGGAAGTCGATGGATGCAGGTGGCTCAGGACCGTGCTTTGTGGCATACCTTGGGGGAGGCCTATGTTCAGCAGTGGCCTTGTGAAGGGCTGTAATGATGATGATGATGATGATATTTAGTTATTTTCTTTTTTTCTTTCAATGATATTATAATCATTTCAAACTAGCGCACAACAGCCAACTTTTATTGAGACATCTTTTCGATCGCAGCGCCTCACTTATTTTGCCCATATTTCTGGGACACTATCATCTACAGCGATCGTTCTCCTGTTATCTAACCTACATGCCGTAGACAGAGAATCAAATATCTACGTGTGACACAAACTACGTTTTTTTGTATAGTCTTTGCGTTATAGCAAAGACTACTAATGAAACCACAAACTAATAAGAAGTACTAGCGCAAATGCAAGTTTTAGGCATGAGACCGATACATCAAATCGTAATTATATGTACATATGACGTTATCAAAACATCATATCATATCGATAAGTACATAACCGTTAACATATATCCAACCAACACGCAAGCTCACTAACCTCTCAAGCGTTCACGGTGACTGTAGTCCCCAAAATAGTTCTTGCATCAACTGTCCATGGTGACTACAGTCCGAGAACGACATTGTTCCCTTTAAATATGTACAGCACTAAAGACCGACGTTAAAATACAGTAGAAAAATAAGAGATGGTGCTATTTGAAATTTGTCATCCATGAGAGTGAATTTTATCTTTGCAATGGCAACAAAATATTCAGAAAAAAAATGTGAAAATAATAGTTCGCCATTCTTGTTTGTGGACTGTTAAAGTGTGTGGAGCTTAATCAAAAATGTGATTAGTTTTCTGTTTTTATATGTTATTTCTAATGTTCTTGTACATCAAATTAATTCTGACGATATTTACTTTAGAAAATATGTATCATTACGACAGTTCCAAAATGTTTACATATAATAATTTAGCTTGAAATTTTAATCACTATATGCGATCTTCATTTTTTATTACACGTTGTTTAAAATGTATTCTAATCTTTTGTTTTTGTTAAATAAATTCTAAATATAAAATAATAATAAAAGAAATATGTTGAAATGTGTCTAGAAATTATTAAAATGCAACTCATGCAATTCATGGTTGCGTTGGGGAGTGAATATTTATATTGAGTAAATGTTATATATTTATGTAGGTATACTGAGTAAATAATATTGAGATATTGGTGTTATTTTAACGGGTATATTGCGCACTATTATAATATAAAATAATTGTCTCTAGTAACTATTATAATTTTCTTGTAAAACTCGAAATAAAAAATAAATACGATAATTTTTTTGATATTCCCAATTTTAAGCTTTATTTTCATCCTTTATTTTTAATTTGAGCAATTTTGTTTTAACAAAATAGAATTCTGATTTTTTTGAGCTTTTTGTGATTATTTTTTATTTGAATGTAGCTATAGTGGTTTTACAGAAGTAATCGTTTTTGTTGAGAGTGTCTCGCGCAGTCGTAATAAAAAAGTGACAATTAATACGACATGACGAACGGGGGGGGGGGGGGGGGGGGGGCGAGAGTCACTCGCGCTGCTTGGACACTTGAGTGGCTTAATACATGAATAATTTTGTAGCTCCAATATAAATGTATTCCCTTGATATAATAAATTAGTCATATTTAAACAGATTTAACAAAACGTCTTGACGTCGGCTGGCATTCCAACGGCAAACTTTAGAAGCTGTCCTCGCCCTTGTCCTACCAAAGCTGCCAAACCAGCTCCTCCATCAGTCAACAACAGCTCATTCCCAGCTCTCCTATCCGAAATTCTGACGGGGGTGAGGGTTATTCTCAGCCCCCTCAGGGCCCCTATCGGCCCCCTTAGAGTCTCTATCGGCACCCTCAAGGACCCTATCGGCCCCCTCAGGGTCTTTCACCAAGGCCCCCACACCAGGCACAATCCTCATTGGCCGATGACCTGGAAACAGTATAATCTACTATTCGAAGCGTCGACGCAGGGGATTTAGCCATTCTAGTACGCAAACTGCGCGCTTCTTAGTCCCCTCAGGACCGTCTCCTTGCTCTTGCCGACAACCACAACCTCATGTGTTCCCTGTAATTTACTCATCTCTCAATTCATAAGCTGTCTTACTTACGCACGCTCTCAGCGGCTGCTCGCCGCCGGGTTTTGTTCGTTTTGGGGCGAGCGGTGAGTACCTCTCGAGTCGTCATTCCGCTAACGTCACCACGGGTTTCGGGAGCAGAATGTAAGAAGTATTATATTATAGCGGTCCTTTGTCTATTTGCATTATATAGTAGGACAAGTTTCATAATATTACTGGACAGTTGGACGAAGAAAAAAATTACCAACAGCACATGAATGCTTTTGTACCTACTTTAGTTGCTTATTGTTTTATGTATTAACCTTTTGAGCGCCACTCCAAAAACGCACTACCGTGTCCTGTACGCTAAAGCGAAAATTAAACAAAAATACCTACGAAAAAACTAGTGTTGCCAAGAGTTGATATATCGATAACACAAAATAACTTGATTTTGCTGGTTTTTTACGCAATAAATGACTCTTTATAATCTGGTATATTTTATTTAATCTTGTGCTGTCTTCCAATCTTTTATATATGTACTTTGTGCAAAAAAACTTACTAAATAAAAACAAGCAATAACAATAATATAGTAGTAAAACACGACTCTTCATCGTGATGACGTCACTGCCACCACTGGACGACAACGGCGTAGCTGACCTTGCTTTTTGAAACTTTCTTAGAGATGTAGCCGTGTCGCACGTTGTGTATCGATTTCGAAATCGATCTAACCAAAATATACAGAGATCGACTCAATATATTTTATGTGTCAGGGGGGACGTAGGCCAAGTAAAGCACAGAAGAAAAGTCTTACGTTCTTATGACAATTGGGGTTTGATATGATGCTGATGCTGCCAGATGATTTTGAGATAATCATAACCATAATTTTTATTGCAATCAAATGGTAAACAATAGATGTGATGTTTTAATAAAAATTGTCCGCATTTGAACCCAGTTTGGGCGTAGCAAAATAAAATAAAAATATTAAACATTATTTTTAAACTACAATATTAGTTTTATTAATAAATTACATTATTAGATTATATTATTTTAAAATTCTGTAAATTAAATTAAATTAATAATCACAATGTCAAGTAAAAATAATAATAATTATTATAAATAAAAATAAAATTAAGTAAATAATAATAATGGAGTAAAAAATAAATTAAATAATATAGGCACAAGCCGAAGTTGTCCACACAAATTAAATAATATTTGTATCAAAATATTTATTTAAATTATAGAAACATTTTTAATTAAATATAACTTTAATTTGGGTAAAAATAATGTAGTACTCGGTTTTATTAAAATTAATCTCTAGGTTGTGATGACCTATACTTGACCAGCACCAGCGACCCGCCAATTTGTAACTTGGTTCAATTTATTGTTTAAATTCTGGTCTTTTGTATGCGGAATAAGAATGGAAATGTCATCAGCAAATATAATAGAGGTTTCAGTCAATACCCTAGATAAAGAAAGAAAATCGCACAACAAAAAAAGTAAAATTGCTCTTCATACCTTAAGAAAAAAATAAACATTTATTAATTGTAATTTTATATTATTAAAATAAAAAAAAAATATCATCATCGACGATTTCCAAAATGCCAATGAGTTCTGAGGAGTCGTTCACGTTGCACTGCACTACTTTTTCCGCTACTCGTTTGTGACGTCATCAGGGTGTCGTCCAGTAATCTATGGTGTCGTCTATACTTGACCACGGCGCCTAATGAACTGATAATCGATGACGCGCTAAGGATGCGCCAGAGTTGAGATATTAGATTTATTATGCGAAGTTGATATGATGAAATTTTTTTTTATTTATGTAGCTGATAATAGTTTTATGTTTCTTACCTTTTGTTTTATTCAAATATCAATAATAATTTAAAAAATAACACGTTTGCGTTTAATTTTGAATAGTTTTCAATAAATCTATGCCTAACGCATTACAACACTAGCGGTCAAACATAGACGACTTTGGCGTGCTGACCATAGTATTTGCTTAGATAAAAATCCATTTTTTTTAGTTCAATGTTTCTTAGTACTTGTGGCTCTATGAGACTTGTTTTTTATACTCACATGTTGCTGGGTTATTCTTTTTTGAGGAGTGTAGAATTAAAATACCAGTAATAATTTTCCAATATCTATATTTCATATTTTTGTGGGCCGGGTTTTTTGTCAATTATAGACGTCATTGGCGCTCAGAGCTCGCTGGTGCTGGTCAAGTATAGGCGACTTTGGAGCTCAAAAGGTTAATACATTTTAAAATTATCGAAATTGTTACCCCAATATAAAAATCTAATATCGATATTTAAGAATATCGGCGATATACACGTGAAATATATCGATATTTTCTTATAAAATATCGATACTTTTTACCAAGACTATTCCTTATCCTTATCTAATCAGTTGATAGCTTGCATATAGCTTGACGGAGGTGAAAAAAGTTTTCAAATTATACTGCAAACTGAATGTCATAATTTGTTAGGATTTGAAAAGGTAGAAGTTATGACTCAGAGATATCTATAACTTAATGGAACACCATTTGTGAAGTTCATTTGTATCTATTTTCAAGATGAACTCCGATGCAGTCGTTAGTGATAAACATTATAATAATTTACATTTTTTTATTGGTCTGGGACTGGCGACATCGTCCAGTATATTTATAGGTTCTAGTTTTATAATTAAAAAAATAGCCTTAAAAAAACTTAATGATCTAGGCAATTTAAGAGCTTCGGCTGGAGGGTACGGATATCTTAAGCAATGGATGTGGTGGTTGGGACTACTTACAAGTATTTACCTTTTGTTTTTGTTATATTATATTATTTATAATAAATAATTTAAAAAAATGTGGTGATTTTCAGTGGTTGTTGGAGAAGGTGCAAATCTCTTAGCTTATGCATTTGCACCTGCTGCTTTGGTAACACCATTGGGTGCTTTGAGTGTGCTCGTGGCAGCTGTGCTATCTTCTAAATTTCTTAATGAAAAACTAAATTTTATTGGAAAGGTAGGTCAATTACCGTTGCAGAGTTAATATTTTTAGCTACTGATGATAACATAATTTATACATTTTCGTTTTTACAGATTGGATGTTTCTTGTGTATCATTGGTTCTGTTATTTTTGTGATACATTCACCTAAAACAGAAGAAATTCAAGAGTTTTCAGAGCTCCAGAATAAAATATTTGATTTTTTATTCATTTCTTATGTTTTAACTATTTTTGTTATGACTCTAATAATAAAAATTGTGTTTGTACCTAGGTTTGGTAATACTAATGTTGTTGTATACTTGTTAATATGCTCTGCTATTGGAAGTTTAACTGTTGTATTTTGCAAAGGAGTAGCTTTGGGTATTAAAGAAACTGTTGAGGGAGGTGGTAACAATTTCACAAATTACTTGTTTTGGTTACTTGTAGTGTTATCTGCTTTGTGTGTAATTGTTCAAATGAATTACTTAAATAAGTCATTGGACATATTTAACACTAGTGTAGTTACTCCTATATATTATGTAATTTTTACCGTATTGGTGATTCTTTCTTCTGGCATACTTTTTAAAGAATGGGGGCAAATATATTTTGAAGACATTTTAGGTTGCACTTGTGGTTTTCTCATATTGATAATAGCAGTGTTCACATTGAATGCTTTTAAAGATGTTAATTTATCTTTTAAGGATATAAATTTAAATGCTAGAAGAAGGACATCTAATAATGGTGTTGAAACATCACATAATTATGTGGTTAATTTGCAAAGAACAAGACATTATCAAAGTACAAATTAATATTAAGTTCAAATGACGAATTTTCACCTCAAAATTATTTATTAAATGGTTTAGTGGTGGTAATTTTTTAAGCAACTGTAAATATTATAGGTAGGTGGAATAGATTTTGTATTTCAGAAGTTATTCAAGATAGAAAATTGACTAATCCAGTTCTTTCAATTAAAAATTGGTACCTGTCTGGCTTTCTTAACAACAGACAATAATACAGTTTTGCCATAAAATTTAACTTACAGATAAAAAAAATACTGACTATTTAGGAATTCAAATTACAATTTCTGTAGCATTTATTTCCAAACATTCTTAAAAAATATATCTTCACATTTTTCTATAGTGACTGTAGATCCTGTACATGCATACATCTTATGTCACCATTATATTACCTTAATATCACTTCACTTTTGAATGCTCAAGACATGGCATCAAAATATGTTGATCTAATTAAAGAGCTATTGACATTTTCAGTAAAAATATTTTGGCTGTAACTGTCTATATCTAGTTAAATTAGTTTAAGTTTTGGTCTTAAGTTGAAAATAGATATGAAAAAAGGTCCTCATACTGTCAAGTGCATTGTTTGGCGAAACTCCACTTGATGAACTGATGAAACATGCGGTAGTTGATGGATGCAAGTGACTATGTTGGGATTGTATTTTGTGGGTGGTCTAAGTTAAGCAGTGCACTTGTGATAGGCTGTATTGATAATTGGACATGTATACAAAGTGCTTGTCTGCTTTATAATGAAAAATTGATATGATTGAATCTTTGAAATTTTTATAATTTATTTGAGAAAGCCATTTTTAGGGCTATTTTTCTCCTTAGGAGCGTTCAAGTATTACATAAGCAGGCTTATGGGCCCAGGGATTGGTCCAAATTTTTTTTATTTTGCTGACAAAGTGAGCAGGGTTATATTAAACATCTTACATAATAAAAAATTATGAAACAATAAAATATTTTAAAACAACATTTATAATATAAAGTAATAATAATATTTTTATTATTTAGCTACAAACTGCGGTTGGTGGAGCCTGTGGACAAAAATGATTCTTAATTTTCTAATTTTATCACTTTTGCTTTTAATAACATGGATTGACACTACTTTATTAACGCAGTATTAAATTTAAAAAGTTATAGTTCACGGAGACTAATCTGGTTCTATTCGTTAGCTCCACAAATATTTGTTGAAGTATGTTTTTTGTTATAATTAAAAACCTTTAAACCCAACTGAAAGTTTCATTACAATTTTATTATGAAATTATTAAGAAATGACAGATTAAATAGTAATTTTGGAAAATCAAATAAAATCTGTTATAAGATAGAAAATCAAAAAATAATATTATTAATCAAAAATAAAAAGATGAAAGGAGCTTTACTGATTTTAAGAATAATGCAGAGTAGTATTACATGAGCTATTAAAAGAACATGAATATTTTAAAAACCTAATTTTTAAAATTAACTTATAACACTTGCATTGTTTTATTTTCCTTTAAGGAATGATTTGCTTAAATATATCACAAGTAAACAGGCACAGAATGATAAATGAAAGTCCTACAAATAGGACATGTGCGTTGATATCCATAAAGACGCATGCAGCACTCTGTACACAAGCAGACATGACGACATGGCAAAGTCAAAACACATTTTGGTCGTTCTTGACAAATAATACAAAGGGCTTCTGTAGCACTTAAAACCTCTTCAGCTGATTGCACAGCACCATCTTCTTGAGTAGTCAACTGTTGCCCACCAGACATTTGTGCAATCAATCTGGTTTCATAATCATTGAAGTAATTATAAATCATGTAATAAAAATATAAAACTCTCCTTTTGCAATTCCAATATAAAGTAGACATTAGAGATCTTAAAGTAAATCTAAATTGTACACATAGTCGCACTATAATCATAGTAATCATTATTCCTATGAATGATTCCAAAGGCACATCAGTTAAGAAATTAGTAAAATCTAATAGGCTCATGTAAGCATCAAACACAACATTATAAATACTGACACTTACACTTATCCAAATTTCTTTTATTATTTGTGGTAAGTGAATAGGTATGAATGTCAACATTAACCACAATGTTTCTCCCAAAAATATAAAGGTTTTCTTCCATAACATAAAAATTTTACAAATAATTATAAAAATTTCTTCAAGTGACCAATAAATAAAACCAAAAATTAGTTTCAAATTGTCGACTAAGGCATAGCACATTATATTTAGGTAGTTTTGAACTTGCTGCCATTGTTTAACGACAGTTTCTATTATGTAGATTGTCAAATTTGGTAATTCTTCGGTAAAAATTGTGACATTATCCTCATATACAATTTGAAAAAAGAGTATAATCTTTTGTGCACTTTCAAAAAATGCACCAAAAATTGTAGTTATAACAGCTACAATTAATTTTCCTAGTATTGAAGCTGAAAGAAATACCCACTGAGTAACAGTTGCAATTAAATTCACTATATTCGTAACTACAGAAATCATCATTATTCCTCATAATTGTGACGCATATTCATCACAGAACACTTATATTATCCCTTCAGGTTTTACTTATTTTATGTTGGAGAGTACCTTAATCACAATACATTTGTATATATCCAGGTTAGGTCGGTATCGAGTTGAATAAAATTTTGAAACTGAAAACTTGCTGAAAACGGTGAAAACCACAACAACAACAAATTATATTTCACAGAGTACTTTGAAAGTTTCTCTATCTACTATCTAGTCTGTGCTTTGCTTTGAATAATCCGAAATTAAATTTATAACTATTAGCTTATCTATGTTATAACCATAGACGGAACACTGTTATTTATTCTGTGCCATAGATTCACAGAACACCAAACGCGTATGAGGCGCCATCTGTTTCCCACAGACGGTGACCCTCTTATCATTCCCCATCAATTCGGTTTCCGAGCCAAACACTCATGTCCCCAACAAGTTCACCGCATTGTGGAATATATCCTCAGCGGTTTCTATCCTCGTCGTCGTAAGACCATCGCGGTCTTTTTCGACATGGCTAAAGCTTTCGATAGAGTCTGGCATACAGGCCTTATCTACAAACTATACAAGATAGGTCTCCCCGATCGTCTAGTACGTCTCGTGGCCTCCTACTTAAAACATCGTACCTTTCGTTTTAGACACGAAGGCACGCTATCTTCACAGCGAACTATCAAGGCTGGTGTCCCCCAGGGCTCAGTACTTGCTCCTCTGCTGTACATCCTGTTCACCAACGACATTCCCATCCCGTCGAAAGGTGTTCAACTCTCCCTCTTCGCAGATGACACTGCCATCTACTGCAAAGGAGTCTCACTACCCTTCATACGGAACAAGATCCAAAAGTCAGTTGATGACCTAGGAGCTTGGTTCAAAAAATGGCGCATCGATGTGAACTCGGAGAAGAGCTCCGCCGTTCACTTCGATTATAAACGACGCCGTCTCAAAAACACTCCACCAATACGTATGCTAGGGACCCCTGTCCCCTGGCATACGTCCGCCAAATATTTAGGTGTCACTCTAGACACAGGGCTCACTTTCAGGCCCCACGTCAAAAAGTAACCCGTCACGCACGGTTTTATCTGAGTAGGCTCAACAGTATGTTGGGCCGACACAGTAAAATGTCCCTTCGAAACTAGCGTACCCTTTACAAGGTCTGTATACGACCAGTCATGTCCTACGCGGGCCCCGTCTTTGCCCACGCAAACCCTTATATAATAAATGAACTCCAAATAGTTCAGAACCTCTTCTGTCGTCGAGCTGCGAACGCACCTTGGTACGTCCGTAATGCCGACCTTCATCGGGACTTAGAGCTCCCAACAATTCAACAATTTCTTAAAAAACTCTCTGAGAACTTCTTCAAAGCCTCAGAGTCGCACCCAAACCAATTAATTCGTGATGCAGCTACTTATGCAGCCCCACCCCCCTCTCGGTATCGAGTCCGCAGGCCGAGAAACTCTCTCTCGGACCCGCCTAATAAACTGACAAACGACCTGAACTGCCTCCTGGCGGCTCAGGCCAACTCTAATTAAATTAAATTATTGTATTAACAAATATTAATTTGCCTTCGTAGGCACTCCCTCAGCGGCTTTTAGCCGCCTGCGCCCTTTTTTCCCAAAAGAGGGTCGCTCACGATAAGGCACAATACAGCTTAATCAGCCGGTTGCCTGTCCCCAAAGGCGGTTTTTAGAGGGTATCACTTAGGGTCCCCGGTAGGACAGTGAGTCCCTCATAACCACGATAGACCGGCTATCGTGGTATGCGTAATGCATTTTCCGCCTCCCTACGTATAGGGTAGCCCTTTAATTGCTTCGGGCGCAAAAAAAAAATTCACAGAACACTATTACTCATAGCTATTACTCCTAGTGTTCTGTGCTCCTAGCGGAGACATGATTTAATTAGCTGGTGGTGCAGCGTGGTGCAGCGGATATAGCAAAAGCTGTTAATAATTCATAAGCAGCACAAAAGAGTCTTCAGGAATCTGAAAGACACAACAGAATGATGGAAGCCGTTGCTCTAGGAAAAGGATTATATATTAAACCTCATAAACAAGGAGCAGGTTTATATCTTAACCTCTCAAAAAACTAATTAGACGGCTACCCAGACGAGCGCTCACTAATATTAGGACATGCAAGTGACATTCCATACTTTCGTATGGACCTACCTTTCCTTTCTACCTTTGAAACCGAGAAAGATAGAATGTGGAATAAAATGAATTTGGATAGCTACAGAAATCCTGGAACGCATTGGGTAGCCATTGTAAAGCACACTTTTATAGTATTATGATAGTTTTGGTAATTTAAAGCCTCCGTTAGAATTAGTTAAATATATGCATAATTTACCTATTAACTATAATTATGCGCGACATCAAGCGTTTGGTGCTACAAACTGTGGACATCTTTGTCTAAAATTTTTAAGGGATTATTGGAAAAAGCATTTATATATTGAATGAAATAAATAAACGTATCAGTATAAAAATATCTTTCACTGTGTCTATAACTGGGACAGGAGCCTCTTTATCAACAAACTATTCACCGACAATAAAACTACGAGGAGACTACGAATGTGGTCTTTTATATTTTACAACTTTCAATTCTATTCTCAATATAGATAGAAACAAACAATAAATTTTATTATGGTGGTAAAGAAATGATCGAAATACCTAAAGGGTCTTACGAGCTTCAAGATAATTGTGATTATCTAAAAAATTATATTAA